AACTTGGCTGGTTAATTTATTGATCAGAACTTTCCAATTATATAAAGATTCTCATTTAGGTGTTCCAGGACAAGACTTGTATATTGAGGATTATAGTGACGATGGGATGCTCAGATGATGCTTACTCCATTGCCAAACTTGGGTTGGTTTAAGTTGATGGCAAAGAAATTCAAACAGCCTTACCTGACAGTCCAGACTTTGAGGGGACTTCAACTTGACAGTCCAGTTGTTGACTAAATGCAGCCTCCCGATCGTCCCTGCTACTGGGATATGAGACAAAGACGGCCAAGCGGACCAGCCCTAAGCATGCTCTCACGAAAGGGGATGAGAGGACTGCAATGAACCACGTGTAATGAGAGCAACACGTTTTTCTGTAATCTAACAGTCCAATTGTTGACTTATCAGGTAGGGTCACTTTCCTGTTACGCTTCTCAAGTTGGCGCAAGTCTTGCACCATTTAATCTATCTTTCGACTAGATTGGCGTAAATCAATATTTTTTATATAATTTTTAAACCTTTTTTTTTATAATATAAATAAAAAAATTTAAATTCAAAATCTCCCGCTTACATTTCTTCTCTCGAACCACTCAACTCATCATTCCCCCCATATTTTGATATAACTTGTATACTCTTTACACCTAAATAATTATAAGTAACACCAAAAATTGGTTACACTAATCCAGCGAAAAATACACTAAATACTGCAAGATTTATACCAATCAAACGGTGTAACAAGGGTATAGCATGTACATGTATACCAGAAGATCCGGAGCCTAAGTATCTCATTTTTTTTCTTTTTCTTTTTCTTCATATTTAAATAAGAAAATCTACATCGCAGACACCTGTGATCCTACTGAATTATGTTCCTATTTCTTATCTTGAAAGTCAATAATTAGTAGCAAAAGAAGAATAACAAAGGTGTGGAAAAGACAGAACTTCTTAACGTATGGCTTCATTGAGTCAATAGAACAAAATCGATCACGACCCACTTCTCAATGCATGGATTCCATAATTCATGATCCAACAACAAGGGATCCCTCAACACTTCCTCTTTTTTTTTTTCTTTGCTTTTCTTTTTTAGGTCAAAGAAACAAAAACGAAAAAAAAATTTACAACCATTACAGGGGATGGGGTGTTTCTTAGACGAAAACACAATACATCAGTGATCTTTTTTTTTTTTCTTTTTTTATATGTCGATTAAGTCAATATTGTCTTCGATAAAAAGGTAATGTTTTGTAACTATCCTAATGTCTAATAAGTGGTGTACGTAAAACGTACGACAACAGTAATGGGTCCTGGAAATTTCTGAAGAATGGTCAGCGTCGCATCCCATTTTTTGAAATACAAAATTATAAGTTATAAAAAATGGATTTATAAATCTATAAGTCATTGAGAAAATATGAATTTATGAGTGAAAAATGAGCTTTTTATTTTAGAGAATAAACAAAGAAAAATGGCCTAAAATGGAACTTAAAAAGTGCGACAGTTTTGGTCCAAAATAATAGTCTAAAAAGGATTTTTAAGAAAAAATAGGAGTCGACACTTGATATTAAATTAAAGTGTACCAAGTCACCTAAAAAATAGATGAAACGCTTTTTAGACGACTCCAGATCTTTGAAAACAAGAGAAAGAGTTCAAGAGTTACGGTTGAAAAAAGGAAATGCAAAGATTTGATAGAACCAAATCTAAGACACCCTTTCAATCTAGTCAAGGGTAGTTGCGAGATTTAATCGAAAATTTTCTTAATCTAACCTATAAAATTTATCACATTTGGATGTTTCTACATGGATGCAAATTTAGACCTAAAGAATATCAAGAGAGTCAAAATATCTATTCAAAGTTTAATTGGTGCGAATCACATTAATTGTGATGCCCAAAAATGATTCTTAGAAGAGGTCACGAATATGCAAAAATGAGACTCAAAGAAAAGAAGAATTATAATATATAAATATATGTGACCTAAAGGAGAGGAATGCAACATAACGGGTACGGGGGACTAAAATTCGTGACTCATATTTTTCCTTTTCATAGAGGAAATACGAGTGTGCTAAGGTTAAGAAGTCATACTCGTTTATTTTTCATATTTGAAGGGTGACTCTTCTACCTAATCAAACAAGTGAACTAACTTATTTCTAATTTCTTAAATGGGATGTAAGTCTAAACGTCATATTTCACGCATATAAGGATAAAGGGGATAATATATAAGGGAAATATCATATAAGATGAGAAAAGATCCTAAAAGTGGAAAATATGCATGGAATACGATAAATGTCACGAAAAAAAAGTGAATCTAGCACGAAAACGGCCTAAAGGGTCTAGCATTGGACTAACTCATTTCTACAAGTTTTCATTAACGTTGGACTAGTGAGAAATCGAGAAGAAAGGCCACAACTAGCGTTAGACTAGTGTGGTGATATCATGCATTTATTATAACTAAATAAATCATATAAAACATAATAAAAGTAAGTAAACACATAATCCACATAGAGCACATAACACATAGGCATAATTTCTATATGCAAAACCCTAATGAAAGCGAATAAACACGTAAATACACAAGCATGTAAGCACACAAACAAATAGACGCAAATAAAAGCCTAACTATTACATTCCTAACCCTTATTACAATCTAAGGGGGAAATTTTAAAAATAATACCCTAACTATTGCATTTATCTAACTAGATACATTTTTAGCAAAAATTAAAACTTATCTATTACTTAGGCTAGCTAAACACATATATTGAACTCCTATATATTACAATTTGGGATTTAAATGCCTCACAAATAATTATCAAAATTAAATAAAATAAATGAAACTTAAAAAAGAATAAAACGAATAATTAAAAGAAAAAAGCACTCAAAACATGCAATTACAAATAAACACACATTGGAGCACATAGAAGAATTCAAAATAATAAAAGAAATTATCTCCCTTGAAGTTGTGGTTAAATGGATGAAATTTGCTCTATCTATGCTTCAAAATCAACAAAATGATTAAGACACCAATTTAATTATAAATAAATGAAAATAATCATGAAATTTATCAATTAAAGCACTTAAATGAACTATAATTAACAATTAAAGAAGAAAAGTAACTTGTATTTAAGAAATCAAAACTATTAGGGACCTAATTATAAAAATTAAGAAAGTTTTGGGGTCCAATTAAATTGTCACAAAGATTAGGGTCCAAATTAAATAAAAATAAAGTTAGGAAAATATATGCAATTAAATTAGGGATCTGATTGAAATAAATTCAAAGTTTTAGGGCGAAAATACAATTACGTAAGAATACAAGGACCATATCACAATTATTGCTACCCGTTCTCTTAAGGAAACGAGCTATTGGGCCATTTTATTATTTTTCTTGGGCCAAGGCCATTTCAGCCCTCCAAAACCCAAGCAAAAAGAGACGGGCTAGCCCATCATTTTTATTAAACAATCACAACTAAAAACACGTGGGCTTTACCCTTCAACCCAAGCCAAAATTCAATCAAAAAAAGATCAAAAACCATTTGCCAAACCCAATAAAGTAACATTAACGCAAAACCTAATATTATTTACTAAACCCAACAAGATAATAATAGGATGTTTGGATATCAATTTTTTCAAACAAGATTTCGTTTGCATTGCAAATATATTTTTCATATTTTAAATTATTTTTTATTTATATATTTTACATATATATAAAGACCTAACATTTCTACTCTCAGGTTCAGCCACGTGGCGGGATGAGGGGAGGGAGGAATTTTTTCTTCCGTTTATGCCCTGAAAATATTGATTAGTGCTTCGAACAGTATACCACTGTTGAGGTCAATTTTTGCCTTTTCACATGCAATTACTACCTTGCCCAGATAAAAATAACTAGCCCCAAAACAGTAACTAACTGTTGAGGGCTATTTTTGACTTCTTGCAAACAGCCTTTTGCTTTATTTCTCAGTTGCCATCTTTTCTTAGACGTAGTTGCCATCACCTTTGTTGTTCTTCACTTTTCTGTCTCCGTTATCAAAGACAAGAAGTCATAGGAGTAAAAAAGTCAAATAAATATATGGAAGTGCACCGATGTGGCAGGAAAGCAAAACACCCCCTTTCTACTTCATTTTTACAACTTTAGCCCATAGGAGTCAAAAAGTGAAATAAAAATCTGGAAGTGCACCGATGGCAGGAAAGCAAAACATGCCCTTGCTACTTCATTTTACAACTTTAGCCCATCATCTTTTGTTTTCTTCTTCCTTTCTGTCTCTCTCTGTTTCCCATTTCTTAATTTTTCTTTCAGCTTTCTTTTCTCCCACAAAGAGCCAATTATGGCTGCCCATCCATATCCAAACTGTGGGATTGTTCCACAAAAGATGATAATCCTCCTTTCCTTTTCATTGTTCCCATTTCTTGGACTATTCCTCTCTTCGGTGGAAAAAGAGAAGTACAGAAGCAGCTGAATAGCTTTTAGAAATAGTGGCCAAGAAATGGATTGTCCGCCTGCTTCCTCCAACAATTGGTCAACAATTTCAGGATTGGCTTCGCTAAATTGCGGCTGCTCATCGGATTTTTTCGTTAGTCCTTATCTATTCCTTTTTATTCCTCAGCCATTCTTTTCCTCTTCCTTTGTCTTTTTTTTTTTTTTTTGTTTTTCGTTCTTTACTTTCCCCCTCCTGTTGTTTCCAGATCACTCGGTCAATAAATTCATGATTTTCTTCCCTAAATTATGGCTATCCATCCAAGTTTTTTTACATCTGTACTCTTTATTATTATACCCAACCATGAGAATGTGGTTTGTCCTTTTGTATTCATTTCATTTCTTGCCCGGTTGAGAAATTACACAGACTCAAAAGAAAAATCTCTGACAACTTATCAAGTTTGCATCTTTATCTGCTGTATTCATGATGGCTAATACTATTGCGAGAGATATAGCTTTGTCCTTCTGTTTTCCTGATATTGTTGACCAATTGCCAAATTATCAAGAAAGAAGGAAACCTTGTGCCTTTATATTAGAAACAGAAATACTAGTCACAAAAAAACTACACCTTTCTTCTACTTTGTTCTTTGCAACCTTTCATGCTAAAGGTAACTACTTTTTTTCTTTGTCTAATTTGTTCCCCTACCAGCATTTAAGAGATTGGATAATATGTCTAGTTTTTATTTTAGTTACCAAATTTCTTCAAGAGTTTAATTGCAGTTTGAAACAATTGGTGCAGAAAACTTCTGATTTAGCATCCACGGATTTCTAGCAAGTAGTTGCTTCAATTTCAGGTCACTCTCTTTTGTCCTTCAATTTCTTGCTTTTTCTTTTCCTGTTAAGAATATAGTACAAGTCATTACCAATTAAGGGTTGTCACCGTTTATTGAATACAGATAACCAAACTAAAACAAGTTAAATTCTCAACCTAAAGTTTAAACTAAAGTTCCAGCCTTATGTAAAAGCATTAGAATGAGTAGTGATGTGCATGTCTTACACATATGAGAAAAAAGTGCCAAAATCCCATTGATGAAAATGAGAATAAAAGATAGTCTTATATATATTAAGGTTTTACCCCACGTTAAAGGTATTATGCACAGAAATCAGGTAGGCAATAGAAGAAACAAAACTTAAAACAGATAATCCTAATGTTGAGTTTTTAGGATTTGTTGTACCTGGCTTACAGGTGTAGAATATTAATTCCTCAAAGCTATTTGTAAAAGCAACGTTCTTGGTTCCACAAAACTATCAAATGTGAAAACCACAACACGTTGGCCGTTTTATGCATTCACATATTTGGAATGCAGTGAGTGATGCATAATCTCTTATATGAATACTATTACACCCAATTAAAGATTACAGAATCTGTGACAGTTGCTCTAAATCTAAGTATCTATAAAGCTGCAACATTAAAAAAAATGAGGTTTTCTTGATGAAATATGTTTACTCACTAACTTTGAACCATACACCCTGATATTTGCACCAAAAAATGCACAAACCTAATGAAGTCAGATTGTTTGGTAAGAAACTATACTATGTTCTTTTGTAGCTTAAATGATTGTAGTTTTTGGGTTGTAAATTCGTTTGGTTTCACTTATTGACTGAATATGCCTGAAAATAATTGCACCTCTGCAATCTTTCCTACTAAAACTAACTACACATTTTTGTTTTATTTCTTCCTTTGTCAGTATTAATATTATCAGATAGTTTGCATAGTTTTGCATTGACTGATAGCATTTTTTTAATCCAATTTACGTTACCAGCTCTGTTCACCAGTTCGGCATATTTGGGGTTGATGGATTCATACTAAGGAATTGCTTTACTTCAAGGTCATTTCTTCTGTTCCTTGACTGTACCTTACAATTTTAGTGGCTAAATTTTGTTCTCGATCAATACATCATCCAGAATATGATAACTAAATATATGTTTCATATGACCTTTTTTTTTCTCACGCCACTACTACAAAAATGTCCTTTTATGACATTCAAAAGTGTCATTATAGATCTATGTCATGACGTTTAGGCTATAATGACGCTCTACTGAAAGCGTCATCCATTCTAGCGTCACGATAGGTTTACGACAGTTTTAAGTGTCCCAATTTATCATTATTATGACATTATTAAATGTCATTATCTATGCCTATTATGACACTTTCAAATGACAAGAAATGCTGGGATACAATAACATATCACAGACGTTTTTTTAGTATAAGTAGATAGAAATATTATGACACATTTGAAGAGTAACTAGATCAGGCTTTTATGACATTTTCTACTTGTCAGTATAACATCCAAATTAAAGTGTTCCAACTTCTTGTTGCATATCATCTAATGTCAGAAACCACATTTCATCCTGCTGTACAAGCATCTTAGATCCTAAATTTTGAAGGATTGTAACATAGCTAGTATAATAATATAAAAGAAGTGATACAATCATCCAAACATGAGCAAAAGTACATCATCCAAACAATCCACACCAAAAGTGTCTACAAATTAATTACTAATTTAGATGGTTTTAAATCAGTCGTGTACATATAAAGGACGTACAGGACAACAACTCAACTACAAAGCAAGGATGATGCCTTCAAAAAATTGCCACTTGACCCAATGTTGCTTTAGTTTTCTTCAATACTCGCCTACAAGTGTCGTAAACCAAACAAGACAAATTACAATTCACACAGGTCTTGTTTTACAATTTTAACATTAGAAAATAAATAATAACTACATTAGAAAACAAATAATAACTATATTAGACGAATGGTAAAGGTATGACAAAAAGAGTACCAGATTTATTGGCCAAACAATAGCCACTCTAATTGTATCTCTAATCTTTCGGAAATCATGGTATGGCCTCATCAACTCCTCATTACTCTCCATAGGCACATTCACATGAACTTCACACTAACGCGACCCCAAAGGTGTGTCACCAACTTTAGCCATAGGATCCAAACTTCTAACCTCTCCAACAGTCAAAATGTTGTTTGGATCAATCATACTCCTTATTGTAACTTCATCCCCAACCTTGAAAATATCAATTTTATAAAGTTTGTGAAAATCATACGCAAGAGAGCAACTCCTACACAGAAATTCATTACATAATACTACAAATCAATCCAAATTTCAGTGGTTTACACTCATCAATTAGGTACTCTTTTTCAATCAAACCATCAATCCGACTTCTATTTCGAACATAATTCTTCAAGGTGCATAGGTAGCTGAGATAATTACAAAATAATATGTTATAATAAGACTAATCACATTAAGGAAAAAGATGAAATTTTAAACTTATGATAATTACCTTTCAATTGGATACATCCAACGATAGTATACTAGACCAATTATCCTTGCCGCAGTTGCTAAATGAATGGTCAAATGAACCATTACAACAAATAAAGATAGTAGAAACAGACGCTCCAACTGGCATAGCACAATAGTAATTTCACTTTCCATTTGAACAAGTTCCCTAGGACAAAATGTTTTAGAACACAAATCTCTAAAGTAGTTAACAACTTTATCAAGGGAAACTGCACCGATTTTGGAAGAAGTTTTCTGTAGCATTATGGTAACAGTTGTTGCATTAAAATGTGATTGTCATGGCTCTTAAGTTTGCATAGTTTAGAAGGTTTAAGTGCACAGACTTTGAAATTGTGGCTGAATAACCATTAGGAATTTTAACTTTTTTCAGAAATTTGCAGAATAATTCTTTCTTTTTCTTAAGTATGTTACTGCACTTTATTAATCTCTTGATGGCTCTCTATCTTCCTAACAAAACCCCAATATTCAATTACAAGGAAGAACAAATAAACCAAATTCCAAGAGCCATCAAATGAAGAATGAACAAAGCTGAAAATAAGATGTTTAAACTAGTTTCTTAAACTCTATTTGGTTTCTTATCACAATCCGAATCCGAATCCAAGAACTTGGTAATTACCAACAACTCAAGTATTGCCCAATGTTGCCTTGTTTAGGAGCACATAATTTAAGCATCTTCAAGTTCAACCAGCTGCATTAAAACTAGTTAAACAACTATTCAAATGGGGCAGCTATATTTTGAAAGTTTCTTTCTGGCAAAACAGCAAACACATAGCAAATATTATTAGACTTCACATTTTTGGCTAGAAAAGTATAACACTAAATGCTTGAAATCAGTCCAAACTCATGAAAAACGGAATAACCCACTTAATATCAGGGTATTAGCCTTACAAACCTAAATTTCTAACCTAATTTTGCAAGGAAAACTCAACAGAAAATTGAATCAAGAGATGGAAAAATTAGGCACAAAAAGCAAATAACTTTCAAAAATCAAATGCAGACTAACCGTTTGTCTGCCACCACAATCTTGCCTTCCTCTACCTTCAAATGTCCTAATTATCACTAGGTTCAAATGCCCTAATTCCTCTTCGCAATCAAACCATGGATCCAAGAGTTACTTAGAGAGATAAAAAACGGTGCGATGAGACAAGGTGCAAGAGCATGAGAATGGATGTTGTGTATGATGATGCATGATTGGTTCTCTGGCTCAATTGGGATGATTGGTTCTGTTCGGAGAGGAAAAATTGGGGGAGGAAAGAGTAGAGTTTGGGGTCGGGAAGGTTCTGGAGAGGGGCTTACAAATTTTCCTGAAAAAGGTGCCTTAGTGGAGCGTCATTTTATTTCAGCATTTTCTATTTTTTTCAATCTATTTCTAACATTACGATGTCGTTATGGTGTCTTCTTTTCTTTTTTAATGACCATTCCTATTGCATGTCATTGCATGTCATATTAAGAATGTATTATGACATTTGCTAAAAGTGTCATAATAGGTGTGTCACTAAAGACTATTTTTGTAGTAGTGCGCTTTGCCTTGTACTATTTAATGACTTTGATTGGATAAATATAGTAATTTCAAACAATTAGTCTGCACCTTTGTATCTCTTGCTCAATTGCTTCTATGTAGCAGTTTGCATTTCACACATATAAATAACTTATTATTACTCTCTTCATTATGTAATATTACTCACATTTTTTTACTACTACTTTCATTAAGATGAAAAGAAAAAGGAATGCAACTAAAAGCTTTAGTTTAGTAGATGAGTGGTTTGATGAATGCTACAATGCTGACGCTTCACAAGTGAACCCCAATAGCTCTCACAAAACAATAAAATCTCAAGAGCTATCAACAAATTTTCCACTTTCTCAGCCCCATCGTCCTAATGCAATTCATATCCATTCTAATGCTGGATATACAGCTACTGAGACCTCAACAAATAACAATCATGTAACTGGTCCTGTTGTCCACTCTATGACAGACCAAACTATGACAGACCAAACTAATAACATCATTAGGAAGCATCATCAAAATTATAGTAGTGGAGTTCTGCCTATTTTGAACCATCTATCCACTCCTAATATCACATCTATGCCTACCTTAGATGATTCTGATCTAAACAACTTACATCCATCTAATCATCACCTGCTCTTATTAACCTCTAATATTGATGAGGTTTATGCTCGCTCTTAATGTTCATCTCCTATCAACTTTACATACGTCCCTAAAATTCATACTTCTCAAATCAAGAACTCCTCACAACCTAACAATATTGATCCTAGATGGACTTCAAATACAACATCCTCCTGTCAAAATACATTTAATGAAAACTATAATCTAACAGTCATACGACCTGAGGATATAAATGAAACACAAAATGTTTCCACTTCTCAGCCAACTTCTTCCTTAGTACTTTTTTCTGCTTTATCTTCTCATCTTTCTCCATATTATCTTCAACAAAAACACTTTGAAACAAAAAATTATAGAAGACAAGCATACATAAAATGAAAATCTAAGAAATTACGCGCACATGTTAGCACTAAAATGGCATGTGTACCAGCCATCAGATTGGAAAGGGTTCAGAGTTTGGCAACTATTACCCACCTTGCATTAGAACCTGCTGTACAATCACTAACACGAAAAGGTAATTAATGTTTTGTCTAACATATGCCTATTTCTACTTTCTTCTATAAATGTTTTCATGCAAGAAAGCATTTTTTAAAAATCTCCAATAATAACCATTCAGTTTTATACTCACTTCTATTCAATTTTTACTATAAAAAAATTGCAACATTTGAGTAATACTAATCAATGAATGTGAATCACGTTATAGGTAAAATCTCTCCAACTGGAAGACAATTGCTAGGCTTCATACCTGATTGCCCTGATAGGTTACCATTAAAGCCACAATGCCAACACTGTGGAGCAACAAAATTCTATTCTGAGACAATGAATTTCTGTTGTTCCAACGGTGAAGTAGTCCTCTCTCAAAATAAACTCCCTAATGTTCTAAAAGAGCTCTTAACTTCATCCTCAGGAGAAGCAAAAATCTTTAGAGCTATGATTAGAACTTACAACAACCACTTTGGGTTCACTTCTTTTGGTGTTAAATATGACAAAAAGCTTTGTAGAAGAAATAAAGGAGTCTGTACATTTAGAATTCAAGGGCAGGTTTATCACTTTCTAAATGACTTAAATTCAACCAATGATCATGGCGAAAACCTTCAATTATATTTCCATGATCCTGAAATTGAGTTAGCCAATCGAATAGCGTCTTGCCCGAGACTATTAGAAACTTCAGTCAGGAAACTGATGTGCTTGTTGGAAAACAATCCATATGCTAAATTTTTTAGAGTTTTAAGTGGAGTGCCTAACCTTGATAGTTATCACATCGTCTTAAAGACCATTCCTGGTCTAGACCAAAGAGTCTATAATAAACCTACAACCTCACAAGTAGCAGTTTTGTGGGTTGAAGGTGAAGACAATGGTCAGATAGGAAAGCGAAACATTAGAGTGCACACTCATAGTGGGACCTCAAAAAATATTCAATATTATTACGGATGTTATGATCCACTTCAATACCCATTAATGTT